TTTCAGCCAATTCCAATCAATATTTGAAAGTGTATCCTTGTCTTCTTGAACTCATAATAACAAATAATAGAAGACCTGTTGTAAATCAAAATAATAGATCCCCTCATGAAAAATGCAATGGAAAAAAACACCAAAATTGTATCCTATTGGGAAGTTATATTTAGAATAAACATATTCTAAAAACTAACTTTAGGTGTACTCAAAATAGGGGTAGAACTATATGATAAACTGCAGGAAAAGTGTCAAATACACCTGGACTTTTTAACCTTGTCTTTCTTCCCTTTCGAGCAATAATGAACAGGAAAGTCCAGTTCCCTGAATGCTCTGGGTATGGGGGCACCTGGAGAAGCTGCACTGAAAAAAGCCAGCAAGAGTATTTAAAGGTTCCAAAGGGACCTGTGTCCAATCCCAGTAGCAATAGCTGTGACAATTCTAGGACAAGACTAATAAAAGTAAACTCTGGTGACTTTATTTCACAATGATTGGAGCTTTTAAAGTATATATACATATATATATACATGCACATATATATATATGTTGTAATGCAGTTACTTAATATATACTTATGTACACACATGTTGCTATTATATTGTTTCAAATATATGATGCTAAATATCAAATGTATGTTTTATGACCAGTGACCAATATTTTTCAAGATTGTCGTATTTTTCCAATCAGGGAATAAACCATGATGCATTCATTATTGAGACTCACCCTCTGTTTCCATTATCAAGGCTAATCACCTTTAATGTGAAGGTGTTTAGTTTTTGCTTAACATAATTAAGATCAAATTCCCGGTCTCCACAAAGTTTTTCCCTATTGTCTTTTCTACAACTTCATCACCATACCCCAAGTCATTCCACATCCAGTATTTGAGATACAGAGATTATATTATTTGATTCCCTTTTCATATAGCATCTAACTTTTTAAAATGCTGTGTGTGTGTTTAAATCTCAGTGTTTTCTTGTTTTCTCAATAGAGTACTAACTCACTGATATTACAGTATACTATTTCTCCCCTTGTACCTAATATTAAATTTTATGACAAAAAAATAACCACAAGAAAATGATCATTACAATTTGTTACTAGTTGGTAAGAACTTTAAGAGCTAGCTTTAATTAATGTATATTATGTTATGGGCCTTTCTCAATAGTGAGATGGTATCTCATTGTGGTTTTGATTTGTCTTTTCCTCATAAATAAAGAGGACCAGTTTTCATATGCCCAATAGCTATCAGTTTATCTTCTTTGGTGAAGGTACTACCTAGCTCTTCTGCCATCTATGTGATTGTGTTCTTTGGTTTTTGGTTTTTATTGTTTTTTTTTCTTTAGAGCCGTTTATATACTTTAGCTAACAGCCCTTTGTCATTTGTAAGATGTGAAAACATATTCTCTCACTTAGTAGGTATCTGTTTTAATGATAATTTCTTTTGCTGTGAAAACCTTTAAATTTGATATATTCTCATTTGTTTACACTTTCTGTTGCTTTTCTTACAGACAGTGACATATCACTAAAGACTATGTTGGAGAATGTTTTGCTTACATTTTATTCAATGTATTTTATGGTTTGGGGTCTTATATCCTTATCTTTAATCCATTTGGTGTTAATTTTTTGGTTATGGTATGAGATGGTGATCTAGTTTCATTCTTCTGCAAGCGGCTTTTCCTACACAATTTATTGAAGTGACTCTCTTTTTCTTTGAAATGTGTTCCTGCTTCATTTGTCATAAATTAACTTCATAGATATTCAGATTTATTTCTGGGTTCTCAATTCTATTCCATTGTTCTGTTTCTAGTTTTGATCCATTACCATACTGTTTTGATTATTATAGCTTTGTGGTATACTTTAAAGCCTGGTAATGTGCTACCACAATGCTTCCCCTTTTTTGTTAGGGTTAGGATTGTTTTGGCTAGTCAGGTTAGTCAGTGATTTTCTGTTTGCATCATCTTCTTATACCTACAGCCTGGAAGTTTTCTTTTCTTTCAAATGAGAAACTGTGGAGGAAGGAGAGGAGTTCATGGGAATTCTGTGTTTTCTGCACTATTGTCCTGTTATCTAAAACTTCTCAAAATATAAATTTCATTAAAATGATATATTCATATTTATTTCTCATGCTTGACAGTATTTTTAATTTTATAAAGATTAATTATATAATTCAGACTTTAAATGATACACATAAATCCTCTACCTGTTGTCTACTGTCTGTGATTAATCAATGAATACATATTATATTTTCTATGGGCAAATTATATCTTTTTAATTGAGAACTAGTATTGTAAAGGCTAAGGTATAAATTTAAATGCTATTATAGATTGTGAAATATTTGAACATATATCTTTTAGCTCCTTCCCACAGGTTAGTTTTTAATATATTTAAGTTTGCTTATTAAAACATCTCTGTGATGTGGGCCCTCCCTGGTGGCACAGCAGGTTAAAGCACAGCACAAAGAAGCTTAAGCCACTTCCACATAATTCCATCCCCGCCTGCCCCAGAGGTGACCACATGGCATGGCAGACCTCTCCTGACCCACCCACTGCTCCCCTCAGCAGTGTACTTCGTCCATCTGCCTGTTCTGCTCCCTGCTCTGTCTCTAGTGAATCCTCTCACCCTCTGTATCTCTGGCCTGTACCCCAGTTCTGTACAAATAAATAAATAAATCTTTAAAAAAAATCTCTGTAATTTTTATTTCTTTTTTTTGTTAACATACCTGCTTTACAGATCAATAACCCAAAAGAGGACATAATTATCTACAGATGGGCTGAAGAAGGGACATCTGAAACAGTCCTATAGATCAGGAAATCCAATATACTTACTATCAAGAAGTGGACAATCATAAGTTTTGTCTAAGAGTATGAACAAATAAAAGTATGACATTAGGATGTTGTGTGAAGAAATGGGAGGAAGTAAAATGAGAAAGGAAGGGGCAAGAAAAAAATCAGGACTGAAAGGAAAGAAAACAATAATAGGAAGGGAATAAGATAAAATATTGGTATTCTGAAGCTAACCCTATAGTTTATACTCAATACGTAAAGGAATGAAATCTTCACAATTCACTGATACCCAACTAGCTATAGATAGAATTGTACTTTACCCATCAATTTCTTCAGAAATCAGCAAAGTCTCAATTAAATAAAAGGAGTGGTACACCTCAGTCACTCAACCTCATTCATCATTTTCCAGTCAAATTGAACATTCACAAAAGTATAATAATTGAAATCATCAGAGAAATAAACCAAGATAAGTAATGTTTAGTATATATGGACACATCATCCAATGGAAAAGTATTTAACATAAAAGAACTTATTGATATGCTTTGGATTTGTGTATTAATCACTAATTGATGGGTTTATGAAATGAGTTGTTTTTAAGTTTTTAATAAATTGAAAACACTTCTGGAAATTAAAGTTCATTACTTGCTCTCTGACGTGACTGAGATTATGGAAGAAGACTTATGGGGGAAAGACTTTCCCCAAGGTCATTAACATTTTGCCTTATTCCCTTTAAATAGACCATATAAGAAACAGAGAAAACACCATCGGTTGCCAAAGATACTGTGAAATGGAAATTTTCTTTAGATGAGAGACAGGACAAGATCAACAAAGACTTGAAGACTTAACATCTACCAACCTGTGAAAGATAGAAAAATAAAGCAAAACTCAAACCCAGGACATAACTGGTAAGATTTTCTTCTAAAACTAATATAAAGAGTTCATGTGAAAAAAGAAAATTGAATCAAATTGCTATACTTTGAAAGCCTGTAATACTGTCAGACATCAGTAAATGGAGAATAAATTTATTGAGTGAGCATAAGGTTAAAAGGTTTGTGTAGATGTAGCTATGAGAAAAGATAGCATGATTGTCAATAAGAGAAATGACAATAATGTTTAAAAATTGAGGTGCTCTGTTGAAATGCTTGGAAGAGAAGAAAGAAATGCATTGACAGGTTAGGATTTGAGAAGAAAAGAGAGTGCCACTTGGCACAGACCTTGGGACTCACACCATTCTCAGGTTTCCAGGTGATTTTCGATCTCATTGTCAAAAACTACTATGATTTGGGTTTTCTCCAATGGTTAATTGGAGAAGAGTTATACATTTCAATAAGAAAGAGAAACCAAGGGGAATAAACATCTAGAACATGAGGATTTCTTGAATCTGAATTTGAATTATTAGTATTACCTTTACTATGATAACCAACATTTTGTACTGCATAAAAGGATAACCATCCTCAAAGACTACACTATGCATAACTGAAAAAACCCAGTACTCAGGTTCCTCAGAGCATAAACACCAGCAGTACTGTTGTTGCAACAAAGAACTAGGTGTTTTATCAAGAGTCATAGCACTCAGAAACAGCTTTGTATAATTTTGGTTTCCTTCCTACTACTATCTCTGGAATATAAGACATTGGTGTGAAACCAGGACCATAAATTCATAGACACAAAGATCAGAATTCATCAGAAAAAGAACCCCATCTCTACTGATTTAGTCTCAGTAATGTTAAGGGGAAATATGGGCATATGTTTTCATTTCTATGTCAAAAATAAGACAAACCTGTCCAGATATATAAATGTTATCATACCCCAAAGAGAAGTTGTATCCATATGAAGCTGTTTCACTTATAGAAAATAAGAATTAAATAGATTTCTAAAAATAAGCCATTCACTTCACTTTGATGAAAGGTGAGTAAGGTTAAATTCAGACACATGTGTGACCAAGATTTGTTTTATATCCTGAACTTTTTTCTCTTCTGAAGTGAATGGATGGACTGTCATACAGAGCTATGATGAACTGATCATTTCATTAAAGGCACACATATCATACCCAGTCAGCAGAAGGCAGGCACAAAGGCACACATATCATACCCATTTCTCCAGTTTCAGCTAGAATTATTGTCCATTGTTTGAGTTATAAGGAAATGTTGCTAGTCTTTGTTATGTTTTCTGCCTTTTTTTTTTTTCAGATAATTTAATTGTCTCTAGAGACTGTGGTCTTCTAGAGTAATGGAAAAAATAAACAATGTGACTGAGTTCATTTTCTGGGGTCTTTCTCAGAACAAAGAGGTTGAAGAAATATGTTTCGTGGTGTTTTCTTTGTTCTATACAGTCATCCTTCTGGGAAACCTCCTTATCATGCTGACAGTCTGTGTGGGAAACCTTTTCAAGTCCCCTATGTATTTTTTTCTCAACTACTTATCTTTTGTGGACATTTGTTACTCTTCTGTCACAGCACCTAAGATGATTGCAGACCTATTAGCCAAAAAAAAAAGGATCTCATATGCAGGGTGCATGTTTCAACTCTTTGGGGTACATTTCTTTGGTTGCACAGAGATTTTCATCCTTACTGTGATGGCCTATGACCGCTATGTGGCCATCTGCAAGCCCCTCCACTACATGACCATCATGGACCGGGACAGATGCAATATGATGCTGCTGGGGACCTGGGTGGGTGGCTTCATCCACTCCATTATCCAAGTGGCTCTGGTTGTCCAGCTACCCTTCTGTGGGCCCAATGAAATTGATCACTACTTCTGTGATGTGCACCCTGTTCTGAAACTTGCTTGCACAGACACATATGTCGTTGGTGCTGTTGTGACAGCCAACAGTGGCACTATCGCCCTGGGCAGCTTTGTGATCCTGCTCTTCTCCTATACTGTCATCCTTGTGTCCCTGAGAAAGCAGTCAGCAGAAGGCAGGCGCAAAGCTCTTTCCACTTGTGGCTCCCACATTGCTGTGGTCATCATCTTCTTTGGTCCCTGTACATTCATGTATATGAGACCTGATACCACCTTTTCAGAGGACAAGATGGTGGCTGTATTCTACACCATTATCACACCCATGTTAAATCCTCTGATTTACACGCTGAGAAATGCAGAAGTAAAGAATGCAATGAAGAAACTCTGGACCAGGAAGGTTTTATGGGAAGCTAATAGTAAATAGATGGAAGGCAATTTAAGATAAATGATCATAAATTATCTCATGTACAACAGACTGCACTAACAATGTCACAGGGATTTTTTTTTTTTGAGAAAATCAAAGAGTGACATATTCTTCTGAAATAAGGTATTACTAATCATTATTATAATGGTTCTAATGTTTCATAACCTGATAATTGAATATTAAGACCAGAGAAACTTGTTAAATTCACATGGTTAATTAAGTCAAATATCCTCTTCACTACTTTCAAATTTTGGCCATTTTCTTTAAAGAATGAGAATCTACTCTGAAGTATTTAAGGCTGTTTCCAGAGTTTGGAGTAGTAATTAGTACATGTCAGCATTCAGTACATGCATGGTGCATGGATGAATTAAACATGAAAAATAGAGAGGAAAGCATTCTGGCATAAGTCCTCCAAAGCAGCGAAAGCTAGATCTGAGTTTGGGATGAAAGGAGAGGTGTCTGTAGAATAGGGAAACTTTAACAAAAATTTAAATATCAAAAGTACTTTCAATTTCTGGCCATCTTATATAAGAAAAATTTCTTTCTTTTCTATGGAACTCATTTTTCTTACACACACACACAAAATTGGTAAAAAAAAAATGGTACCTTTTAAAAAAAGGTAACTTTTAAAATTGTGATTTACCATTAATATACTTCTACTACAGATTCTAATTTTTGCTGGTCATAAATGTCTGCACCCCATTTCAATGTAAACTGACTAACAGGAAAACAAGTGCAACATATGCTAATGAAAGAACAGGCAGTTGGACTCACTCAACAGAATAAATACAATGGGCTGAAAGGCCTGACTGGAAAAATGATGTTTCTCCAATGTTTGAACTGAAGAAGATAAAGACTGACAGACTCATTGCTCTAAAAGACCAAGAAGTGGAGCATAAGAAATAGTATTCTAGTTTGACTTTATAAATGTGTTGCTGTTTGCAAAGTGCCTCCATGTCAATTCCAGTGAGAGAGGTGACTGGGAATCATGAGAACTCAGATTCTCATGACTGGGAATCATGAGAACTCAGATTCTCTCAACGTATCAGGGTAATTCTGGTGAGTAAACCATTCCATTTCCTCAATGTATGCTCCCAACATGGTTGCCAACTATATACTTTTATAACCCTACTGTTAGGAGATGAAAGATCCTTCACTGATGAAAGGCTTATTCATTTTCCAGATGAATCATTTTATCAATTTCATAGTGGAAAACAGAAAAAATGTGTCTCCCAGTGGTTATATCTTTGTCCCCTGAAATAGCATGCTGTGTTTTAAACATGTCTCTAAGCACCATTCAACTGAATATGTAAAGATACTTTCTATAGTTATTTCATATGTCATCCATTTCTCATTTAAACACACAGGAAATTAAAACATTTAGCACATGTCTGAGTCTCCAGAATTTCAAAATAGTGACTGAGAGAGAATTTCTCATATTGACAGTGTGTGTGGTGTTCATGCTAATGTGTAGCTGTGTGTATGTCAGTGTATATTTGTGTATGTTTTGTGGTTAATTCAACACTATCATTTTATACAAAGCTTCAAAATAATCTTAATACTTGCACTTTTAATATTAAAAAAAAACCTTCAAATTAAGAGCAATGGTATATAGATAGAGAGGTAAATGTTAGACGTCCATAACAGTCAAAAACTCAAACATCACATGTAAGGAACACAAAATTTCAATTGAAAAAAGGCAAAGACACATGAGCACAATCAGAAGCTTATGGTAGAAACGATTAGTTTTAGGATGATTTGTTACTCCACCATATTGAGTTAGCTGATCAAGATAGAACAAGGTCATTCTATGGAACTAGGGGTTCTGAAACACATTCTTGAATTAATAAACCTCCAGTGTATTTAGTATAAAGTATTTAGAAAGGAAAATTACAAAATGTCAAGATAAAGAGAACAGAGATGAGGCATAGCAATTAACCCTAGTTGTGTACATAAACATTTAGAAATTGATATGTCTCACCCTTGAGTACATTTCTTTTGCTTCTTTTTTGTTGATGAATTATCAGAAGAGATTTTTTTTTAAGATAAATATAACTCATGTTCAAACAGCTTTCTGAGGGAATGTCTTATTTAGGGAGATAATAAAAAGCAAATTTTCCCAAGAATAAAATTTAATCTTTTTTGGAGATGTGCTCCATAATCATATCAATAACTTGCTTGTTGACTAAACCCACTGGAACTAGACACCACACACCATGAAGCTGGAGACATTTCTCTTCAGCCTTATGTTCCTGAACTGGATAATCCTTCTAAGTGGTAATTGTTACTAGGTTAGTATCAAAATTAAATCCTGATGTGAAGTGTAGTTGTTTTTCTTATTCCTTTTAAGAGTACTTCATTATATTTAAGTTCCTTCTGTTTTCAGGCAATACAGATCAGGGTCTTTTGGAACAGAGAAATGATCAATGACATGTTCATTCTATTTCTGCAAAAATAGTCCTCTTTAAACATGGATCCCTGTTACTGACAAGATGGTCACACTTTAAGTGTGTACAATTTTATTTCACAGGAAAATGTCAAGTCAGTATCTCTCATGTTTGTAAACTTATTGAACCCAAAACTCAATTCCTCAGATGCATCCTGTAATAAAAAAAAAAAAATGACCCTAGATGACCTCAGTGACACCATCCAAGAAACAAAACTAGAGGATTCTTCGATAAATTAAGGAAACACTTCAATGGACCAAAGATGATCTTGGCCTACATCCCATGTCTCAGTCAGTTATAACTGCTTCCCAAACTCATCTTTACTTCTCCCTATAAAGAGGGACTTCATGAATGAAAAATGCCACAATGTTGCAGTTTGGTTGTGGAGGGAAACCTCAAAATATAAACCCTGAATACTAAGGGGTGAAGAGTAACAAAATGCACCTCAGGAATGTCCATCTCTTGCTATGTGTCTTCTGAAACTCAAACCTTCCCACAGATGGGAGATTGTCCATGCTGCACATTTTCAAAAGTAGTAATTTCTACAATCATGAATGCTTTATTCAAAGGAGATATACATACAGTCATGAAAGAGCATGAAAAAAAAGATTGAAAAAAAGATTGTTCACTTTGAAGCTTCTAGTTTCTGACAATGTAACTAGATTAGGCTGTCACATGGTGAAGAGTTCAGAAACTGCCCAGTGTCATATTCCCATGGGGACTGTCACCTGCCCATGGAGAAACAGAAAGTTCCCAAACTGTGAGTACTTCGAGGAAGTGAACAAAGACTGTGCTCGTGATCAATTCACGGTGGAAAAGCCCACTTCCTGTAGTCTAGGTGCTGCTGATGGGAGAATGTGACTGGCTACTACTGTCCCATAAGACGAGGTAGTCACAAAACACTTTGATACCACTACAACTGTAATCCATGTTTCAGAACTTGAGAGTTTGCTCTTTTGTGTACCAGTATGTAGAATGAGTACACACAAAAAAGACACCAATTGGGAATAAGAATGACTTTTAATAATGTCTACAGGTGTGTGAATTGTAAGATTGCCTCACACTGTATTACTTTAGAGACAGCATTTGTTAAGGGAAAGAATAAAAATACAGCAACACCTGTACTATGTTAGCATTGCTTTGTGTCTTTTATTGCAAAGGATCATGAAAACCATGGAAGTATTTTATATACCCTGTACCTGCGACAGGTGTCTCAGTGAAGAAGCATTTTCTAGAGGAGACACAACTGCCAAAGCATGGAGTCTTCCAGGTTTCCTTGAATAAAGTGCTGTCATACCACTCTATCCGGGATCAGGAGGAACAGCAAATTCCAGAATGTCAGAAATGAATTCTGGATGTCAGAGCTGGAAAGATAATGGATATAACTGCTTCATTTCCTATGTATAAAATTTCATAGCATAAAATAACAGAGTGAATTGCCTTCTCTCAACAAGGATTGCATCACGTGAAGACTTAACCCCAACTCTCTACACCCATTCAGTCCTGCACGCTAGCCATTCTGGGCAGGGAGTGAGATCCCCCACAGGAAGTCAACCCACATCCTCATTTCCGGTCAAGCTGCTTGTTTCGGCACCACACTTTCTTCATGGCGTTCTTCATGTCAGTGTTCCTCAGTGTGTAGATAAGGGGGTT